CCATAAAGGGGGACCCCGAAATAGACCCCCATATACTATGACCCTAAACTACCCTGGTCCTACTCCTCAGTCTGTAACCCCAGGGAAAGATTGCTCCTGGTCGCTGATGAAACCTTTTGCGGCGAAGTTGAGCCGAAGCCTTGGGAGTGTCCCAGAAGACTAGCTACCTCACTGGTAGTTAGCACGGAATACGGGAATAGAATCCCTAAATTAGAATCCCTATACAAGATCTTCCCTTGTTCCCTACTGACCCCCAGTAAGCTACTCTGCAACATGCAGAATTGCCAACATAGGCCGGGTCCGAATAGTAACAAAGAAGAATGCCAAAGTACTGCTCCACATGAAACTCAGCAGCATGCTTGAAACCGGGCTTTGACTTGTGAATCTTAACTGTATGTGTTCAAGCTGTTTGGCCTTGTCCTGGACTTACTGTTTTGATGTTGTTCTGGGAGTGCCTGCAAAGCATGACAACTACTCCTAGGTTAGGTGAAGTTGGTCTGGAGGCAGGTGAGCCCTTACACAGCGACGTGTCCTTGTGCGGAGTCTTCATTGCAACATGACTTCACATGTCCGCTATGGTCTGTTTCTTCGACAGGGGGCAGGCTTCTACGGGTTTCTGAAATTTAGAGTGCAGGCCTGGGCTACAAGAAATATTCGCCTATGGTAGTTGGCAAGAAGACCCTGATCTCAAAAATTGCTGGCTCAATGATCTTCAGGGTTTCCTGAGGTTCAGGCAATCGATCGCCAGGAGCACGGCGCCATGCACCGTAAATCTTCTTGGACCTTCTCTTCTGCATGCAAGATCATAGGAGACCGGGCCCATGCAGTATGCAAACTTCCAGTTTGTGGCTTGGGGTCAAAATGGCAGGATACGCCTTTCGTGCCTCCTGAGCTGTAAGACCCCGAGCAAGGGAATCCGCATTTACGCCCACCCTACACTCAAACACTACCCACAACTTATTGGCTCTTAGTAGGGAGTATGACAATATACTATATAGGGAATTTGTCCCGATTCTCAATTATGGACCAGCAAGACAAAGGCCCTTGAATAGTTATCCAATGGTCATGTCTGGGTACATGGCGATCGGACCCATGTCGCTCGGCAGTTTCGTGCTTAATTGTGAGCAGCGCTTGAAGAGCCCCTACACAAACCACCAAAGAAACGTACTAGATCTACTACAATGAAATATTTCTTGTGGGGGGTTTGGGGGGTGGTGAGTTTGGGCGCGGGGATTAAGGTCGGGAACCTACAAGACACCTTGTCCCAAACCACTATGGAACCATTCCGCCAACTCGGCGGCCAAATATCAAGCCAAAAATCCCGAAACCATATTCCCAAATCCCCGTTATACCCATATGCCAAATATCAAGCCCAAAATCTCAGCCCAAAAATCCCGAGATCCAATTCCCGAAATCCTATTCCCAAAATCTCAGCCCAAAATCCCGTAAAAACCTTCCCCCATAAATCCCCGTTATTCCTCAGCCCAAAATCCTGTAAAACACCTTCCCCCATAAATCCCCGTTATACCTCAGCCTAAAATCCCAACCGTAAAGCCCAATATCCCAAATCCATAATACGATTTCCCATACGCCTAAACCCACGAATAACAATATGCCTAACTGGGGCAAGGTGTCTCTAATGAAAAAGGCGTTCCGTCTAGACGAGGGAAACCCCATAACTTGACTCAAGAAGCGTATCCTTCTTCAAGACGGTTTCCATTTCCTCCTGCCCACATGATCACTGCAAAGGCGTTCCTGAGGCGAGTACAGCAGCGCCCGCCGTAGCAGCAGCTTCTTATCTTCCAGGCTCCCTGCCCAATCAACAACAGAGCTGTGCAGGGGTAGAATCTTGAGCTTGGTCCTTATTTCACATAGTCACGGAACTGAATCTTCACTTGAGCCCGTTTCTAATATCAATTCTATGATACTCCTCGTAACATAGAAGGCCTATGCGAACTACGCGGAATGACTGTCCCCCCAGAAGAAAGCCAAGAGGCATCCCAGGCCTGTACAATGCTTTAGGCAGGATTATTTTATGTTGGCCTTATGAAAAACCTAAGCAGATTATGGAAACAAAGCAACCCACACGTGCGCACTGGAGACTGCGTAAGACTATGCTCGGCATTCACAACATCATTCCCTTTGACCGGTGATGCTTGAGCGAATGCATTTTTCAAATGCCTCCCATCTGGGAATTGCTTGGGGCTCAACATGCGGTGAACTACCGGTGGGTATCGAGGCTCTCCGAAGGCCGGCTTCTTCTTGAATTTCAGAGCGAAGCCTAGCTTCGGAGAGCCTCCATGTACGCCGGTAATTAACTCCGAATCTCTTTTTGCTGGCCGTCCTTTACTATCTACTGTAGAAGCAGACACAAGCTGTACAGGCTGAAATGATGAAGAGAGGCAAAGCTTCAAATCGCGCTGATGAGCGGCTTCACCACTGCAAATGAGTTGTCTTTGGGCCCAGATGCTAAAATCAAGGCCCTTTAAACCTTCAGGGCCTCCGGGCAAACGGTGAAAAGCCACGAAGTTGGGTGGTACTGGTTGATCTACTTGTTCAGCACATACATGCCTGCGCTCTCGAAGTGCCACATCCCTCCTTGCCCTGCGTGGCCAGTGTTGGCAGGGAACTCTGAGAATCTCACCGGCGATGCGGTTCTTCCTTCACCTGAGTGGCATTCTTGGTAGTTGAGCCAAGCAAGCAGGTACTCTGCCTGTCATTGAGGCATTTACAGTATGTGCCGGTATATACCCAACAAATATAGGCTCACGAGCAATAAGCCGAGAAACCTCCGCACTGCCCGTGCCTCCTCCATCTGGTGTGAATTGTCGGCCGTCATCGTCGCTGAGGTGTCTCGTCCTGCGAGGGGCGCAGCAAAATCAAAATCCAACTCTTTGCTATGAGCAAACCTGGCACCATAGCTGCAACGGCCTATAGCCTCTCCAAGAAATGAAGGAACACATGAAACCTGGCTTCATGCAACGTACTGATGAATACTCAATACTCACTATCACCAGGCTGTGCTTAGTTGGCAGAAATTCTGGTGAAATGCTTCAGGCTAAGGACGTCTTGTAAAAACAATACTTGCAGTTGACATCGACTGCGCATAATGCAGTCGTTTCTGAGACAGGACATGTATACTCGGCTGCCTCAACTGCAGACAAGCCATTTGTTCCAAACACTTAGGTTCATCATGCCCAGACCCCTCAGCCTAATGAAGACCCATGATTAATGAACCCCTTCCTTTTTAGGGCCTTAACATTAGGATCCCTATAATCATCCCAACTAAGTGGAGGGGGTTATTAGTCAGGGGTCTGGCTTAAACCCCATCCTTCAGAAAATCATCCCTACAAGTGGCGCAACGGGCTCCTGCGATGACACCACGATATCATCGTTTGCCTCATCTCCGCAGCGCATGTCCTCCACATGCCTCGGTTCTCCCGGCTTGGTTCTGCTTCATATGGGGGGTTTCCCAACATGAGTGGTGCCTGTCTTCAAGGATTGTAGTATTTTGGGACTGGCGCTCTTGCATTCTTGGCGGGTTCCAGGACTTACGGCTCATTTTCGGGAGCAACATTATTATATGATGAAATACGAAAAACCTATTGTTGGAATGATCATATAACTTCCGACCCCATCATCATGACCCTCGATCCAGCTAAGGCCCAGGGAAAAAATGCCAGATTAAGGGCATGAGGTGATGCTGCATTTCCTGCAGCAAAGGCCTTGGAGAAGTCACCTAAGCCTAAACCCTAAACCAAATAAACCCTATAAACCCTCTAGAAGCTATTTATAAGTCCTAAACTGGGATTCATGTCGAGGCACACTTCGACCACTACAGTGGCGGCTTCGCCAGCACAGCGCACAGCGCCCAGTGGAATCAGGTGATGGGGCCTGGAGCGTCAGGCTGTTTACTGGGTTGCTGTTAAGGAAATTAAATTAAGTTACCATAATGGGCACATATATATATATATATGTATATATACATGTGTGTGTGTGGCGAGATGTCTATCAAAATGGTTTCCCCAACATAGTAACTTAAAGTAAGTTCCTTAGCAGCAACCCAGTTAAGGGCTTATTTAGGGCATATAGCGGGGCCATACAAGTAAGGGGGTAGGACAGAACCCCACTTGCATCTACGCGTGAGCATCCAACTAAATACCGTCACATTTGAATCTCGGACCCTCCCGAGAGACGAAGCTCCAGATTGATCAATCTCACGCAGCCATCATTGGGCACGGAGCATCCTAAACCCTAAACCAGGTCGTTTTTTGGGTGGCTTCTTGCGAACTGACCTTGCTTTTTGGGATTTTCTATGCGAGCTTGAACTTTTCCCGCCAAACGAAACTTTTCCGGTAAAAAAAATATGACTTGTTAAGGTACACTGGCGACAGCATCCTGAATGCCAAACACCTACCAAGATCAAAGATTCTGTAGACAATCGTAGACTACAAGCCTAAAACTCACAATGCAAACCCGGAAGCCCTACCGGGCTTCATGAAGATACTTCTGGGTCTATCTACACATATTCTGTGGATACTTGGACCCAGAACCCAGGGTTTGGGGTCACTAGGCACTAGCTGTTCTGAACTATCCACACCTCTGCGGCAAACTCGGAGCTGAGATTTGCCATCGAGGAACCAGCGCCTCCTGGAGATGACCCTCGAAATGCGTACCCTCTTCCATCAAGATGCGTGCTTCCTTAGAACATTACACCCGCAGATATATTCGTGACGAGATATGTTCTATCCTTGTCGTTTGCAACATGAAGAGGGCCCATGGTGCTTCATAAGCTTGAGAATTTTGAGCTTGGGGCGTGCAATGGACATTGAAAACCCTGCATGACCCTGAGTACCGTCAACCCAGGTAGTTGTGCTCTACAGCATAACGAGGTCATGCGGGGTTTTCAACGTCAAAAGTAGCGCTGTGTTGTTCAGGAGGTCAGCTTCAAAGTAACCTGACTGCAATATGTCTATCTGTTGCTGCTTCAGGTTTTTCGACTATGAAGAAAGGACCGGTGCAGCTTTCAGTACGGTAGTGCTTGGGGATTTCCTCTTCGGCAAGATGTGCTCACAATGCATGATGTGACTGGTCGCACTCTTTTTTCTGAGCTGTGTGTCAGTCAGCCCCAAGCTTTCAGCACAACACTTCGCAAAGTTGTGGTGCTGATCCCAACAAGCGGCATTTCCGCCTGGCCCATAACCAGGGTCGCAGCAAGCAGCCCAATGAAAGCCTTCCTTCCAGCAGCTATCCCCTGGCAATCTTTGCCCCAGTTTCCGCTTTGGGGTGCCAAGAGGCGACCACCAAGACTGACTGCTCTGCTCCATGCTTCTGGGGCAGATCAACATGTAGTTCCCATCTTCCAGCTCCCTGAGCGAACCGTTGGTGCATCCAAACATCTCATCCACGCTCAGGAGCGGGTGCGCTTTCGGGGCTGGAGCGGGTAGCTCCTCTTGCAGGACAGGAGCATCTTTGAGCTCAGCTACGAGAGCATTTCTCCGGGCACATTGTGCCAGGCGAGCTCTCGAGATACGCTTCGCATGGGAGTAGAGACTATAGTCGAAGCTGTTCTTCTTCACGAAGCTCTGTCGCAGAGCCTCAACATCACTGGGCCCGAGATCGGATTCCGTGGGAATTTCCAACATGGCCTGGTGGCGCTCGTATGGACGCACCCGTGTCCGTAGCAAAGGTCGAGCTGTCTCCAGATCCAGGCCCAAACTGCAAGCAAGCTGCAAGGCAGAGCGCGCAAAGTCCTCTGTAATAATAACAGTAGACATGCGGTCGAACAGTAGCGATCTTGCCAATTCGTACTCCCATGTTGTCAGCTGCGGGCCGGACAGGTCTGTGCGGTTGAGCAGAATTCGTGTGTAGTAGTTGTCTGCGTACACGTGAGGGCTCTCTGAGATTCTGTATCCGGGAACTCCCAAGACACTATCAATGTGGGCAGTGGGCGACCACCACCAACCTCTAGGGTTCTATCATCAGGTTTCTGGGTTGCTGTTGGGAAACTTGACTTAAGTTACCATATTATGGGTGTATAGTAAATAACCGGCTTTCCTGAATATACTTAGTTTAAGGTCCTACCGCAACCCAGGTTAAGCGTGCTTCGAGTGGCTTAGTCCACGTCGACGGCTTTGTCTTGCCTTAAGATGCATAAGCTTGCCAAGTTTCAGGTCTAAAAACAGGTAGGAAGTATTGGATATGCCCCACCTAGGAGGTTGTGGTTGCCAGCCATACACACGGCCAGCGCTTTCATGTTGGAGACGCAAGTTGCCATCTCGTACCTCCAGCTTTCCCTGGTACCCTAGTAATTATCGCAGAGGACTTCCGGGTTTAAAAGGGTTCAGACTGTAGGGTCAAAACCCCGGCACTGTGGGGAGGTGCTTCTACGAGAAATATCCAGAGAGGCATTCTCCTGAGCGAGGGGAGCAAGATCATCTGTCGAGATGTAGTATGTATGTATTAGTCATACCAAGCTTAAAGCATGAGACCAGGTTTTGGCACGGATCCTCGCGTAGCTGCAAGAATAGGGAACTGCAGTCAGAATAACAGGGGCAATGTTCTGGCAAGTGAACAATGCTCAAGCTATACTGCACCCCTCTTTGACCCCCCTCGCCCAACATGCACGTCAAATTCGGTGGTAGGGGTTAAAGGGGAATGTTGTAATTAAGCCACATCTTTAATCTCTCAGCCAGAGGATGCCTGAGCTGACTCCAGAATCTCGACCACGGATCGCGCATGGCAGTCACAAAGACCTGACGGGCTTGGGATTTTTCTGAAATTGAAACTCCTGATTTGGGGTGGCGGTATATACAGGCGAGACTTTCTGGAGAAACTCTCAGATAGCACAGAAACCAGGGGAGATCCAAGCACCAAAGTCCTTTGAGACTTGAAAGAACTTAAAATGTCGCAGCCATCGGCATCAAGCATAACCCTAGGGATCCAAATAGCCCAATCTAGGTCATGCTTACAGACTTTGGGGCCAAATGTAAGTCTTATTTTTATACTTGGATCCATACAGTAAGCTGTAAGCTCAAAGCGGCCTGATGAAACTCATGGGTTCCTTCAAGATCCCAGCTGTGGCGAGCTTCACGGGATCATTTTTTCTGAACCGTCGCTACATGGGCCTCAAGGTCTCCACAGCATCCTAAATCTAAACCTAAACCCTATTCCCTATGCCCTTAAGCCCTAGACCCTGAACCAAACATCAAATCCCTTCTGTGCCATCAGATGGATGAGCAAGGCTACAGAGTCTCACTCCGCACTTCTCTCAATTGCCAACACGATCCTCAAAGACCTTTGCCCCGAACCCCTTGCCACAAACTTACATGTTTCAAGAATTCCACTGACGTATACTCTTCTACGAAGAAATACAGCATATATCATATACTTTATTCTGTTATCTACAACTATACTATATGGTATATATATATATACTATGTGACGCACAACCTCAGGCCGACCCAGACAAACATCTTCTGCCAGGTGGCCCAGTTTCGCATCAAGGGCCGGAACTGCCTCCGGAGGAGCTCGTTGGCTGGTATGGCCCCATATTCCTGAAGGACTTTTAGGGTTTAGGGTTTAGGGTATCTTAAGGATACCTTATGGGTTTATGGTTTAGGGTTTAGGGCTTCATCTACCCTAATAATGAGGGACATCTCGGGTTTCTCAAAATGGGGGGCCCTTTGGGGACCTCTGGGATACCTTCAGAGATTGCAGAGGGATGATTTGGTAAATGCACCTGTGAATTTCAACAAAGGGCTCCCTGCTTGGGCCCCTCCACTACCGAGCTAGTTCATAGGTGTTCATTTTTGGACTGGGCTTCTCCGCCATATCCATCTGAGCTATAGTCTAAACTCCAAGTCTCCCCCTGAATAGCCACTATAATACTCCCCTATATAGTCCCCCATATGAACCCCTGTAAGACGTTTAGATTATGGCTATTTTCCATCTAGCCTGGGCAAAGGCGTTGCCGCCCATGATGTCCAGCTCAATGGCGATCAAAGACAGATTGTGCCCGACCACCGCCTCCATCGCATAGTCTTAGTGGTAGTTGATAGGGAATGAGGGAATATACTACTTAGGGGTTTTAAATGGATTATATTCCCGTATTACCTACTAACCACCAGTAGGATAATGGTAGTCGCGGTGGTAATAGAGATGGTCTGTTTTAGGGTAATTGTTATTCGTGGGGGGGATTACATGATTAGTAACTACACGTACAACATGCAGCAGCGCCAGCACCAAGAGCACAGCGCAGTGGCAGCAAGTAGTGACTTATAGTGGCAATCGCACCACCCGTCTCAGAAGTACCCCAGACTGAAAATCGACTTTCTAGGTCGTCCGCGGAGAAGGCCATCTGAAATACACAGCCAAAAAGATCCTGCACCTTACGCTAGGGGTGAACTGACACCTTAAGCTGAAACTTCAACGTTGCCTTGAATAGCTCCTACATGACCTCAAGGGATAGCTCCTACCTGACCTCAAGGGCGCGATATAGGCCCCTCAAGTCAAACTGACGAGAGGTGCCCTGGAACAAACGACCCTCACGGCCTGGGAACTAGGATTGCTATAGCTTCTGCATGGCTTCTGGCGCCTTGGCATCGCGCAGCTTCCACTCCTTCCGCATGTGACAAGGGGCTTCTGCAGGAATCTTTGGGGAAATTTGAGCTGTCAAAAACGCATCGAGTAGCAGATGTAGAGCGCTACAGTAATGACCTCCCACTCCCTGCTGACGCTGGGCTGACCGCGGTGCATGGGGAATTGAACACGACATCAATTGGGCTGCAACGTTTTAGTAGCACACCAGTATTCTGGCTCAAGAGGCACATCTAAGAATGGCATGCCATTCACTACGCACTGTGCCTTTCTCAAAACAACAGCCGTACTTAATGTCAGACCTGAAGGAAAACATCAAGGATCCCCTACAGTATCAGCCATGTTTCTACACCCCAAACATCATCGTCAATACAGAACCTAACTATTTCCAGTTGTCCTTGCGTTGCCGCCGAACATGCACCCATTGCTTGAGAAACACGCGCCTCGGGTTGGCAAGCCTCGCTTCGCTCCCAGACAAAGCGCCTGAGCCGGGTAATATTAAGGGCTATGTAGAAATATATCATGCAGTACTCAGGCCATACAAGTGGTATGGGGTGTTGGCATGGCCCGGACGGCATAGCAACGTTCCCTGGGTCTTTTTTCATCAGACGGGAACCTTGGGTTTAGGGTATAGGCTTTGGGGTAGGGGGGGCTGTGGTACTTTGTGGGGTCTGTAGGGGAGAATTTCTCTGACCAACATCTGCATGGTCGCCAGGATGATGTGATCTGTGTTTGAGGGTTGAACCCGGGACTATTTCACAGCAATGATCCAAGCATGACGGGCCAGTGCCCTAAGCCTCGCTAATTAATATGCGACAGGTGTTGTCAAAATTATGGATCCTTTTGTGGTCCCCTGCTCTTTACAGCCCAGCAGATTTAGGAAGAGAAGGGAGTCACTATCTTAGTCTAGCCGTCAAATCCCCACAGGTTGTGCCGAGACAGGCGCGCATGCGAGGCAGCACGCTGCAGGAAGTGGCAAGCAGTGGTCCCACCAGCGCGTCTCAGATGCTGGAACCAAAGGAAACCTGCACAAGAAACTTGGTCCGAGCATTTTGCCAACCTTGGGTCTAGAGTCTAGATTTTTGGGGAGAGCAGGGTATACCTTTCGCCCATGCTCCCAGTATCCTGGGGGGTCATGTGTATCTTCTTAAGGTATCTACAAGGTCTCGGCAGGGCTGCTCCGAATACTGGAACTTGACTGTCTTTGTATCACCAAGCTACCACGCCCCTGGCGCCACATCTGCGTCGCATAGTATCTATCCTGCCGCAGACAAGCTGCGAGGGCTGTTCTCTGGTTTTGGATGGTTTGGGGTCCAGGCTCCACGTCTGTTGCAACATATCATATGATGCGCATCTTTCATTGGTCATAGGAGATATGTAAGGGATGGACATGCGTCTCGTGACGGAGGATTTTAGATTGGAAAACAAGAACAAACTCACCAAAAATGATAACCTCAACAAATACACCGAAACTTGGAAAACGTTAGCGCCCTGACCAACTTTCCAATGACCAGTAGAGAAGGAACAACAAATAAACACCGTACATCATAGGCGTGTTTCCCAAAATTAGGGGCACCCCTTTAGGGGTCCCAAAGGTAAGGATTATAGTATTTGGGGCTTTTTGGGGCTCGATATTGGGTGGTTCGAAGAGGGAGCCTTCATAAGCGCTTGGGCATCTTCCGTGCTCCCAAGATCCACGCAGTCTGAAGCAGTCGCTTTTCCTGCACCGCTAGACACCTCATCTACTCATCGCCTTATGGAGTATGGTTCCAAACATGCGTGGGATAATGTAGCGAGTGCTCATCTCAGCGGTGGGGGAGGTTTTGGACGTGAGGGAGGGCGAGACTGTTCACAGTACGTCTTCAAAGTTCGACATCTCAGTTGTAGTAGGAGGGCCATTCACAGCACATCTTCAATCTTCGGCATCTCTTGTAGACGTCTCTTGTAGTAGGAGGACCATTCACAGAACTTCTTCAAAGTTAGACATCTCAGCTGCAGTAGGAACCATACAGTAAATTCCGAATCTGTTAAGCCCTGATCTGCTTTGACAAAAACGCACGCGGACTGCTCTTGTAGGGGCAACCATCACCCAAACCTTTTCTCAGGAAGCCTGGACCCATATTGATAGTCGTCTCTCGGTCTTTATATGTAAGCCCCTTATTTTCCCGACAGGTCCAGCTGGAGCGCACTGGATAAATTTTCCACAGGAAGCGCCCTAGCCGTCGCGAAGAGGAGTACCAGGCTGAATCGCACCATGGCAACGGAGCAAGGTCTAAACCCTTCCCCTGCCCTACAAGATGTTAATGTCTCGCACAGCAATTGAAGCTCTGGTAGCCGGGAGAGGGCCTGAAGTGAAGCTATGAAGTTAGGATGACATGGTGGTGAAACTTCAAGATTGAACAGGTTCTCTAGTAATGGGGTAAAGGATACGTTGGGGCTGAGGATTTGGGGATGCTACTGGACATCACAAGGTGAAGCATAAGAAGCCCTGACGTGTAGTTGACATCAATTCGGAGTTTGGGGGGGGTCAAAGCAGAATGGGTCACTGCCCACTGGATTTTCATAAGATGAGCTATAGTCTAATTTCTAGTATCCTCCTTAATAAGCCCTATAGTAGTCCCCTATATAATCCCCTATATAACCACCTTGACCCTAAACCCTAAACCCTAAACCCTATATAATCCCCTATATAACCCCCCCATTGAAGGAGTTTAGACTATAGCTCAGATAGTGGGCTCACACTGTTGGCCACTCTCAGCACGCGCGGGCCGAAGCCCGAAACCCGCAGTCAGCCTAGCAGCCTACAGTCACCCTGAAGTAGCTATATGGGAATCTTATTATATTAAGTATATTCTCAAAGCCATATTCTATCTACTTAAGGGGGACTATATCTCGCAAATGATGCTATGACCGATTTGTACATTGCAAAAGTCTGCGCTACTATTTGTGCAAAATCAGAGATAATTACTGAGGTTTCATGTTTGGCAAACATGCAACATGATAACACATGCAACTGCTCGCGTCAGCGTATCGTTGACTTGGACTAGCGGGCGTTGGCATGAGAAGAGCCCTGAAGCTATGAGCCAACAGCAAAATGAGCAGCTTCACTTGAAGAGGTTAATGACACACATGGGGTTAGGGGTTTAAGGGTATAGGGTTTAGGGTTTGCGGTTTAGGGTTTGGGGTTTAAGATTATAGGGTTTAGTGGTTTGGGTAGTCTAAACGCCTAGTATCCCCCTTCATAATGGAGAATCGGATGGAAAAGACAATAGAAAATGAAATGGAAACTGGGATTATATAGGCGATTATAGGGGTTAGAGTCTAAACCCCTAGCATCCCCCTTAATAAGCCCTATAGTAGTCCCGTATATAATCCCCGATATAACCCCCATTCAAGGAGTTTAGACTATAGCTCACATGCCTCTTTCACTTGGCAAGCCTCTGAAGCTACAGAACTGTCATGATTTGGTTACAAGCGGTGATGGGATGGCCATGCTGGCTAGTTCACACATGTCGCTCCGTGCGGTCAAAGTCAGCTGACGGCCGAGTGACTGCAAGGGCCTTAGAACAGCACAAGGATGTAGAATGCAGGTGTAAGGTGCACACAGGGATCATGCCGAGAATATGTACGGACATTTTCGTGAGGGTGTGAAGGTGATCATGGTGTTTCTACTTGGGACTGTACTTATAGGGGCACCCTGATGCGTTTAAGGGCACACATGTAACCAACAAAAACAAAGCTTAGAGACTTGGCACAGGTGAGGTCCTCCATATGCAGTACTCAGTACAACCCCTCAAAACACAGCTCCTCTCAAGGCATCCCAAAGAGGACTCATTGTCTCGAAGCACACCCATCTATTGTGAACACAACAATATGGTATGGGGCTGGGGGGGGGCAATGCCTCAAGTGCAAACGCGCCTCTGCGAAATCGCAACTGTTGAACCCAAGTATCACCTATCCGACACCCTTTAGACTCTGGAATATGCCATATATGCAGGGTGTTCAGTGTTGCCTGCCGGTACTTGGAGGATCTCCTGACCTAGCAAGTCTACTTAGTAACTTGGGTTTAGGGCTTATAATTAATGGGGTTCTTAGGGATAGTAGGTAGACTAATTATAGGTCAAGCTGTTACTGGGGCGGTTGGACCCTTGGGGTCCCAGGTGCACGCCAGCGGGCAGCTGGCCTTGCCGGAGGCAGCGCCTGGGCTTACTACGGTGGTGGGTGGTCCTTGGGGGCTGCCGGCGGGATGTATACATTGGGATTTCGAAGAGGGATTTTGGACGGGTGTTTAGGATGTTTTGGGGGTGGGGGAGTGCAGAGGTCACAGTTTGGAATCTCTGGCTTCAAGTTGACATTGGGGTGTCGAGCCGTTACAGTTTGAGCGCGAAGGCTTCGTGCCGTGCTTAGGACTCAGGCTTTGGGGTCAGGATTCAGCAGCTTGATTTATGGCTTTGTCTTGTCTTTTGATGTTTCTCTGGCAAGCAGCTGCCATGATCAGAAATTTGAAAGCTGATCAACATCAGGCTTCTCAGAGGTACCATTCATATCTGACTGTCCATATCCTTCCTACCAGGACGCTACAAGGGACCCATGCTACGACCGATATCTCCGTGATAGCCCGTAAGGATTCGAACCCTTTGCATAAACAAACCAATATACTATAGTAGTTTCCATTTTCTTTTCCATTATCCCAATATAACCCCAATATATACCCTATATAACCCTATATAAGTCAACATCGACGACCGTTGAGGAGGAACCATGATGCAGCATGGAGCTTTACGCTTGGGATGCTGTGCCAGGTGGTCAGGGTGTTGTGCGCGTGCGTACAGGATGCTTCTCGGGAACCTTACAACTTGCTGAATGCTTAACCAGCCTGTTGAGTTGTGCAACTTTTACTGCCAGATGCTGCAGCGCAGGGGTGACCCAATAAAAAAGCAGCTGTTGTCTTCTCGTTTCTGTACTTTGAACTCCTCTTCGTGCTGCCCGGAATTCTATGGCTGAGAAATGCGTAGCTTGCTGACATCTGGCAAGGTGTCACGTCGTCACGAATCATTCTGGCAGGAACTTGAAATCAAAGCCTTGGCGACATTACAACAGGAGCTCGGAGCAGAATGTATCTTGTGCAGGGCTCTCTCTTGGTAGTGCCTGGTGATTTAATTTTCTGCGGAGGCTGTGTCATCCTCTGGCATCTCTGTATACTTCTGCACGCAGGCGACTGCATCGAAGCGTGAGGAACTGAAGCTTGAAGATGCCCTGCGCATGCGCAGCAGGACTGCGGCTGCTTTCGCAATCCCATATCTTGTGCAATGCCGCTTTCAAGTCCTGACTGCAGGCTCATCCACACAGCTCAGGTCTTCAGGTTGACAGTGCCGTGTTAGGAGATTGCCAATGAGGTTTAGTAAAGACTGTATGAAGGAACCACGAAACTGAAAGCGAGGTTCAAGGGGTCTCCCATCATGCAGGGGTGGAATTCGACGTTTCTTTGACACCAACTTTGGGGTCTGCGACCCCAACATTGCCATAACTCTGACAGCATCGGGCTCGTACGCCTTGCTATTGGAACGAATGACCGAGAGTTTTTTTGCGACAAGGGGCTTGAAAATTCCGCGTGATGTCTAGGAAGGCCAACTGGTGTAAGACAAGTAGCAATTGTCGTCCAAGATGCGCTTTCCAAGATAGTAGGCCGCAAACTCTCGTTTTCGCTGCAGGGTAGTCCCAGGCTCCAGGTGTCATGAGCAGGACGGAGGCCTCTGGGCAGGGCGGTGCCGTGCTTCTCAAGAAACTAGCAGGAGGTGCCGACTAAGCTCACCCGAGTGATGGCCGGCAGACATCAATGGAGATTGCCCCCAATCCTTCGGGCCTTTTTTGCGATGGAACTTGGACAGGTCATGCTCCTATGCCTCACTGGCGTCCTCAGCTCTCTTGCGACGGGGCCTGGAAAGCTTGCCCCTCACCCCTCCTCTCCTTTGTGGCGCCCCATCATCGACCTTCACAAAGGCCGAGGACGCAGCAGCTTCCAGAAGGTGCTCCTCTGGACCCAACTTCTCTTCCTGAAAACTTGGCAACAGACTGCTTTCAAGGGCAGTGGCCTCGAGCACGTTATCCTCAACGGGAACAAATGAAACGCGGCTGTGAACCCGATCCTGTAGGCTATCTTCTGATGTCTCATCACAATGACAATGAACTGGTTCCTCCTCTTCGTACCCCTCCTCCGTTTGCTCCGATTCCCCCTCATCCTCCTGGCCGTCCAACAGCTCCGCCTTCACATTCTCAGCGAAACTCGAAATCTGTGCTAGCCAATTCCCTGCTGCGGCAGCAGGAACCCACATGTTGGCAGATGCTGTGCCATCATCTTGAAAACACATGTCAGCCAGCTTGGTAGAAGCATTCTGCAGCGCGTACAATGCGGAGACCCGCGACCCAGGCATGTTGCGGACATGAATGCAGCTGCGAGGGACGAATTCGACCCAATGCGCCTCAGCCATAACGGCCTTGCATGCTGCAGTATACTCGCGAACTAGTCCTCCCGTCCCGGAATGGAAGCCTCCAAAATACCTTGGCTGCTCCAACTGCTGGACAGCAGCCGAGTGTCGGCAGCAAAAACCTAGACCATGTTAGGCCGTTGGGCATTGGGAAAAAAGGTTTCGGCTTCTCCTGTCTGCTGACTGAGGTACTTAGTGACAACCACAACCACCCCTCTGACGTTTGCAGACTCCAGCACCCTACGCATTGGCATTCCTGCGGTTCCAGAAGGCTCTCCATCGTCACCTGGCAATTTTTATAAACCTTAAACCATTCAAACTCCTACGCTCTACCAGACCTTCATTACAACAAAAAGCTGAGAAGATGGAGCCCCTCCCTTCCTGCTGTAGGATCTATACAGTCTATACGAGCCACTTTGGCCGAGAGCCACTCCATGCCGATCGACTCCAGCCCAGCAGTTGTGGTGTGCTCGAGGGTCGGCCACCTGACGTCGAAACTCAAGTGCTGAAGAGCGGTCCTTGGATATCCGTTCAGTCTGACTGAACAACTACTACATTTTTCCGTACCTTTTTCATATTCCTCAATGACCATGTTACGGCTGCTGTCCAATCAGAACTGTCCGTCGATATTTGTCATATCCAAGTGTCCACGCACGGCCCAAGAAAGGCCACGAAGCGGGTGCCCTTGATCTCGAGCCTCGCTTCCCAGAAGCCTTGTTCGGGGAGCGGGCGTGCAGGAGTCACTGGTCCTGGTAGCACAAAAAGCGCCGAATTTGCAGTCTTGGGTCTCGGACAAAACCTCCAAAAACAGCGCACCTTCTAGTTATTGTGGGCTTAGCATGGTGGGGCACTTTTGCACAACCAGATTGCTATGATAGAGCCACTCCGAACACCGAAAGCTCATGGCTATCTCACGAATCTTTGCGATCAAAAGGCCAGAACTTGTGACGGGTATATAAATGAGTCAGGCCAAACACTGTACAGGACTTCCGGATTTGTAGGCTGCCTTTGCGACATCCCTATACTGGTGGACTACATCCCAGCCTATTCCGGAATTGCCAAATGTAGGGGGTCTTATACAAATTCTGAAGCAGAACTGTGTCCTACTGTTTGGGTGTCATGTCACTTGACTATATAAGCCCAGCGGTTGCTCCGGTTGTTTAATGTGGCTTAGACTAGGCTGCTGTTAAGGAACTTTCTTTAGGTTACATATTATGGGTATATATAGTAAATCATAAGGTTTCCTAAGTATAGTAGCTTAAATAACTTAGGATCCCTGACAGCACCCCAGTAGACACTGCCCCAGTGCCCACACCTGGTACCATTGCCTGGAGCACTGCTGTCGGCAACCTGGCCAATGTTAGAACTGGAAGGTCAAGCACAAAAACAAAAAGCACAGCCTTTAAGTATGAAAGCGCCATAGTCAGAAACGACATCCGATAATGTCATAGATCTGATCCCTCTACCCGGAAACCCCAAAATTTCCCTAACCACGACCATGCAAATCTCAACACGTATCTCAAGATGATTGTTTAGGAGCGCAGGTGCTGATCAACGCTGTTGCCACAAATCTGATGGCAAAACCTTCATGACTTATACGTAGACCTGCCTCCTGGTCTCCAGGAAGAAGAGCGCCCAAGCGCAAGCAAGGGCAAGCCACCAGCGGCTTTTTGCACGACCCGCCATCACCGCTTGAAATTCATGGCTGAAGCTGGGTTTCCAGTGAGATTATCCTGGCCATCATCTTCTCAGACTTGGGAAAGTTACGTAGGGTTACATAGCCTACCTCTAAAACCGCTTGTGAACCTCCATAGGGTGGGACTGCGGATTTGAAACACAAGGCCGAGAGCTCATGCTACGGTTATCACTGTGAGGCTTTTGCACGTAGACATAAGGTCAGGGCTTCTAGGAGGTGGGGATGCGTGGTTCAGGGCAAAGGGTGCGGACCTAGAGTAGCTCGTTCGCTGACAGCTGCTGTGTGGCACATGCTGGAAGGATTGCATAGCTTTCAAAAGGAGCTTGACGTGCCAACCCTTGACGACAGTATCTGGACACCGGACATTGCTGACTACCTGCCCTGAATAGCATGCCCAAGTTTGCACAAAATGGGGGGGGGGGTTGCCGTGTGACGGCCGTCGCTAAATCAGCTGGGTTGCCGAAGCTGACATCTCCAGCTTCCTAGGCAACAGCAAAGACATTGGCAACTGTAGCTGCTCTCACTCCCGTCTGGGCTGCGGTCTTCACACTGTTGGAACATCCTAGATTTCAAAAGCTCTCTGCCTGCTTGAGATCTCAACCTTACCTGGTGCCTCATTGTTGCCATTGCGGGTCCAGCAAAACTCTCGCATTCCACCAAACTAACACGGAAACGCACATGGCCCCAGTTTAGGGTTTGGGGTTTTTCAAGAGTGCACGAATCCCAGTGCGGCTCATTTGCGGCTTCCATATTCAGTGGGGGGGAGTGCTCTTAGTTCTGCAATCTACCACTTGGATGACCAAAATTCCTGCTCTCCGCTGGATTTATAGGGTTTAGGTTTAGACTCCCTGCCCAAGACCTATTGTTCTCTTGTGGTTCCCTGAAGGTTGGGAACAAGGGTATAGGTTTAGGGCTTACCGTAACAGACAAAGTCTCATTACGTAAAGGCCCAAGCCAGAAGGACTTAGAATTTTGCTCGAATGTGTACGTGTGCTCCCTTGTCTTACCTGACCCTGACTTAATGTGCGTGAATGGTTTTCGGTACGTAGGACAGATTTCCACGGTGGATTGCAGCGTCCTTTGGCCTGCTTTTCATCAAGTCAGCAGTATCTGACTTCAGCTTCTGGAATCATGTCGTTCTTCTCAGTCACATGTCTTTGACAACTGCTTGTGCAGCAGTTTGAGTTTGTAGTGTAGTTGTCCGTTAAGACCAAAAAGCCAGGACCCTCACTTCAGACTCCATTGCATTAGAATCATGCTGCGCACCATCTAAGTAGCTTGTAGGTGTGACCTAGACGTTTCTGGGATAGGTGGCTAAGACAGAACTGTGTAGAAGGCGAAACTGTGACCACCCAAGCCCAGGGTCAGCAACGACAAGCGGAAAGAGTCCACCACTTCGTCCAGCGGTCTGGCCATCAGCAGCTGTGGATCCCTGGGGAAGTCCTGGTGCAGGATTCAGGGTGCTGACATGTGTGGGACAATATCATGAAAGATGCAAGTATCCATAGCATACTTTCCCGCAGGGTTACGGTAGAAAGGGCTGTGCAAGATTTGTCCATCAACTGCGGCACTGCCCTTCTATCAAATCGCACCGTGGGGTTGCTGCCCGAGACGCAATTGCAAAGCGCTCTGCTACCGTGCCGTTCTCGAGGATGTCAATCCTGTTCTGCTGGTCAAATGAATCCACCAATAAGCCCCCCCACAATTTTCTCCAGATGTGTGGATTCAGCTGCAGGTATCGACGTTCCGTTTATATGGTAAGAGGGCGACAAATCTGTTCAGCCTGCATTTCCAATTGCAGGCTGATGGGAGAAGGGATGGTACATCCTGTGAGGAGATGATTAGTGCGCATCCTCGTCATTTTAGCTCTATCTCTTCAAAAGTGGTGAGACTAAGTAAGCACAATGGTGCACATCAGGATACATCAGGTACGTAGAAACTGCCACACAGCTAGAGCTGAGACTTAGTTCACCGGGCAGGTATGTGGTGACACTTTCCTCCACCACTCCAGATCTTTGTCAGCACAGTGGGCTCCTGCGCAGTAGTATACTGGAAACACAAAACATACGAACTCAGAAGCCTCTACCAGAACCTTCCTTGTACCCTTAATTGGGGATATATGGTCCCTAATAGGGGGTACTTGGGCCCTAATAGAGGGTAGGAGGAGGGTCTAGGTAGCTAGACCGATAACTTCCAATGGCATCAACGAATAGCTAGCGCCTGGATGTCCATCCTGGTACACCTTGCTTTGCGACTTGTTGTCGTTTCCAAAGCCAGAGACAATTTCGAACCATTCCGGACCCTGGAAGTAAGTAAAATCATAGTCCAAAATCCTTACAAGCAGCCAAAAAATCACTATTCTACTTGCTTTGGGGTCCAGGTAATCCGAAACCCTAAAGCATCAACCCTCAACTCAGATGTCAGTCAGGGCACAAGATTCGACTAAGTCTGTCCCGGTTGATGGCGGAGCGAAGGGATTGGGTCAAGTTCACCTTGTCATCAGGGTTTTTGTGTTTAGGGTTCTCGGGTTTGGGGTTTCGGGTTTCTCCAAATTTTGAGAGGGTTTAGTGCTAAGGGCAAGGGGTATCAACACATGGTGGTTGATCGAAAGGTGCATTGGGGAATTGTTGTTGCGTTCCTGCAGGTCCCTAAGTAAAATATGGGGGAACGTATTTTCCATGGTGGCCAGTTTGGGACAAGGAGCATTGATCAATTGCTGTATGGAGATTTGCAAGAAACACAAAATCCCTGTATAGCCCATTACAATGCTTTCCATGTTCTTTTCCATTATCCCCATATAACCCCAGTATTACCCCTATATAAGGATGTTCCGAATGTTCCTGTTGAGAAGTCTGCCTGGGCAGGTTTGAAAAGCTCCCATAAGATCATCTGCCTACAGTTAAGTTTTAAGGTTTGTAGGGAACGGAATACTTGATCTCATAGACTTCCGCCGAGACAAATGAAAGATGCGCATTTCTGTTATGATTGCTATTGCTGGCTGGTTCAACCCTCATTGGGGAAGGGTTCCTATTGTTCGTCATAGTGCAAATGCTCTAGGGTGTAGGATTTAAGCAGTCTGGCGTCTGGTTTGCAGGACTTTCTCGGGACGGAATTCGGCTTCAGGGGTATGACTTCCATAGATGACCCGGTGCAAGTGCTCTGCAGCTTGCGTGAGTAGTAGAACCTCAGGAGAAAGTTGGGCATTGATTGCTTTGGAGTTCACGTCGGGATGCTCTTCATGGACGGCTGCTTCTTGCAAATCCTGGAGCGGAAAGATGCTGCAGCGCTTGTATGATGTGTTCACTGCTGTGAGCAACCCTAAACCCTGAACCACTAAACCCTGGACGCATGTTCTGTGGCCTCATGCAAACCAAGGCGCCACGTAGTTCTCCACGTCTTCACAAGTGTTCCACCTGAGCCCCGTGGCTTCTTCAAATTCTTCACTGGGATGGTTCCAAAGAAAGGGTGTGCTGCCGTGGCAACCAGGCGTCCAGTTTTGCTGAAGCTACAGCGACCCTGCAACAATCACAGCAGAAAGACTACTGGCGCTGAAAGCAGCTTAATCCTTCCCCTTGTGCTAAGCAACTCCTGATCACCCCTCGCCTTGCTCAGACAAGCAGCAATTTCGCATCTCACCAGCTCCCAGCAGTTTCTTTCTGGGTCCCTGCCATATAAGGATCTGTCAATCTTTTTGGCGCGTATAGCATAGCCCTTTTTCCAACAGATTCTTCCAGCTGAACATATTTCTCTCCTTCCAAGACACCATGCGTCGTGCTCGAGCAATCGTTGCCTTGTGAAGCTGTCCGGCGCATAGAGCTCTCGGACCTGCAGCAGGGTAGGGCCATTAGTCGCCAGAAGGCTGTCGGGGGCTTGAGATGAGGGATAAATGTGGTTCTCAAAGTCCTCTAAGTTGTAACTGGGACGTCAAGCCAAGTTGTTACAGCTAGCGTGCGCGCCACTCTGGAGGGTTTTGCAAGGATTCGCTCTGGCAGAGGATATGCAGAATCGTAGACAGAAGTCATCAGGAGCCCTTTCTTGGCGGCCTTGGCCCTTATTAGTTCTTTGCTAGACAACAGGAAGTTCCTAAGGATTGAAAGGGGCTGCATGCATATAGCCTTTCTATAGTTGTGTTTGGACACGCAAACATACACAAGTGTATGCATATGAATGCACAACCATATTGCGCAGATTGGTATAAATATAGATATATGGATAGATACAGATATATACGCATCTACATCAAGTTTTCTTCAAATGTAATCATATCTTCGAAGCGCAGGAGAGAGGGGCATGGCCTCAAAACCTTTGAGGGCGCTTGGCAGGCGGAAGGATCCCATGAATCTTGTTTGTTGCATGCCCCTTGTGCCACTGGTGGATGATGGTCGAACAAAAATCGAAATCCCTCAGAAGGATCCTCAGATTCTTTTTATAGCCCCCTAATATATCTATCTCTAGGCCTGTTGAGAACTTTTCCCAAATATTTACAAGCAAGACATAAGAAAAATGCTTTCAGGCAGGTGGTGAGATGGACCCACATCCCCTTCTAGATCTACTAGTAGCAAAATTGGTGGTTTTGAGCAGGCTCTGGCCTTTCCCTGAACCCACAGCGCCCCAAGGCCACAACCCTACAAGCCCAACCTCCTAATCCTACACCCATTGCAGTCCTTCAGAACTGTGAAGATGGCGCACTGCAGGAAAAGGATGAGCCTGCTTCAACTAAAGCCAGGAAAAGAAGCACAGAACTTAAAGCGAGATGTCAAGACCCCAGGGAAAAGAAAGGCCACGCTCGTTGTGAAAAACTGCACACTTTGCTCCTTGCATAAAAAAATTCATACATTCTACCAAATAGGACAACAAAATCATCATGCACTGCAGAACTCAATCAATTCCAGCCGGCCGCATACCCTAGCCATCCCTTGCTGGTAGCAGCTTTGGGCATGTTCCTCTTCGCTATTTTGCGGATAATTTGCGGAGAGCATGCATATGGCAAGAGAAATCCGACAAATCTGGTGCATGGTGTAGCTCTACCAGAATCAAAGACCCATATACACAGAAGCATGCAAGCGCAGGGCCAAGGAGCGTGTCACCGATCGTCCCCTCCTGCAGCATTCGCGGCTCCTGCCAGTCTAGCGGAAACTGCTGCCACGTTATCGCCTCCATGTGGGACGGACAGGCTTACCCCAAACATGCCGGGTCCTTTCATCTCCAAACCGGGGTCCCGTCATTGTCGGAAACTTTTGCGAAGTTCAGGGGTGTGTGTGCCATGATACAACAATGGAAGAGGCCGGGGCGCTGGATGGAACAACAAACAATTACGCAGCCAAACAAAAATTGCCATGCAGCATAGATAGCATGTAAAGTCCTGGCCAAGTCATGCCCGCTTTAAACAAATGTCTCTACCTAAGTTTGCATCATGTCAGCCGGGCAGACCCTCCAAATGTTGCAAGCATGTGCTCGCTCCAAGGCACTCCCGTGTATCCAAGCAACCTTGAAGAAAAGGCATATGTTTTCGACACCCTTCACTCTGAATCAAGAAGCTGAATCACTCGACAATGCACTTGATGCGATTGACATGCAAGGCTCCCCACCCTTTCTGCATACCAGCGTTGGGTCGTTTTCAAACCCTTTTGCTACTGTATATTGTTCCTACGAGTAGGAGTGTCATTCTGCGATATTCTGCGCACCCTGAGAGCCCTAGGAGATTCACCTTTAGAATTGTGTAACGGATAGGATTTAGGGTTTAGGGTTTAGGCTCCTCCCACCCGGTGCTTTAGCAGCACTGCCGCAAAAACCATTCTGATCCGAATTCCATGGCGAAGCGGAGCAGGTGCCAAAATACTTGAACTGAAGTTTGAAGCTTCAAGGAGGTCGGGCATATTCACAGCTTCAAGGAAGTCTTTCCCGTTTCTGGGACATCAGGTAAGGTCCGGGGAGTTTGTTCTGGTTTGGCCATATAACCCCTCTGACTATATACCCTTAACGCTGAGATTTCGGCTAGTTGTTCGGTGTTGAGTGCTGAAGATACATGGTTTGGGATCTAGGTTTGGATTTTAGCTATTGAGGTTTCAGTGGCTCCAGACTTAGAACTACTACGCGTTCGAGATCATGCCCTGCAAGTGGTCAGCATGTGGTCAGGATCACATGCGGTAGACAATGCATTCAGGTGTGTCTAAACCCATGTTCTCTGAAAAGCTGGGCCACGTTGCCGCAGCGTGCTGATTGTTTGTAAGCACCACTAAGCACTGTAGCCGAAGGTGGTGTGCTGCATCCTGGTAAGTCTGACGAATTTTGCAAATAATCTGTCCACAGTGCTATGAGCTTGACTCAGCAGCATCGCACTCCAACTCGGGTCCACAAGCCCCCATGGCTCGGGACTCAAGCCAACATCAACACTACATCATCCGTTTCAGATGGAA